GTGGGGTGGTAAAACTGCCAGCCAGGCGCATCAGGGACAAAGCCAAGGAAGACGCAGGGAATAGCGCGGGCGGAGAGCTTGTCCGCGGACGTATCGCGAACAAAGGCACGAGAACCCCAGACCCGGAACACCGACGCATCGCCAACCTTCCCCGTCCAACGCAGTGTGGGCGAGGTCTCCGGCAAGGAGACACGGGGCCAAAGGTTGAGCTGATGCGCAGCGTACCGGACCGCAAACGGCCACAGAAAATGGGGAGTTGCCGCATGAATCATGGAGGTACGAGCGACCTCCATGACTAAGCCAATGCGGCGCTCAGCAATCCCATTTTGCTGAGGGGAGTCTGGAAGCGTGAACGACTGGGTGATGCCCTCCCCACGACAAAAGTCCCGCAAGAGGTCGGAGGAGAACTCACCACCTCTGTCAGAGTGCAGACGCAGGACAGGAAGGTCCTGGCCGAAACGCGCACGCAGCTGGAGACGGACTGTGCGGATCCAAGGGATCAAGACAGCAGAGACTTCACCCTTGCTGCGCAAGGGGAAGACTGTGGTGTATCGCGTATAGTCGTCAACTACCAGCAGAAAGTAGCGCTCGCGGCCCTGTCCACTGACGCGGGCTGGGCCCCACACGTCCATGTGGAGGGTCTGCAGGGGAGCAGTCGTCGGGGGAAACGAGGAGGAGTGAGGAGCGGCGCGCTGCCGTCCCTCGACGCAAGGAAGACAGGGCGGGGCAGGCGAGGGCGGCAGGGGAGGCAGAGACCTGGGGAGACCAGAGACAAGGAGACGGGAGTGCATGCCACGAAGGCGTGGCAGGGAGGGGTGACCCAGGCGGTGGTGCCAAAGAAGAGTCTGGTGCGACAGGAGGCGACACGAGCAAGAGGCGGCTACCTGACCTGACGCGGACACCTGAGCAGACGCAGCGACTTGAGGAGGCTCGGTAGCCAGTGTGTACAGACTCGACCCTGGCCGACGAGTGAACGTAGCCAGGTGACGCCCCGTCCGCGTGCACGTGCAGTTCGACACACGCTGACCCCCAGGAGTGGTGGTAGTGACCATCGCATCCTGAAGGGCAGCGGTACTCACCAAGTTCGTAGAGAACGAGGGGAGGTGAAGACCTGACAGAGAGCCGGACGGAACCGCCGGACACGGGAGGACAGTGGAGGAACTGGCAACGACCGGGCCCCCAGAGGGATCAGCCAGTCTGACCGGAACAGGTGCAGGAAGAGGAGTGAGAATGGTGCTGTCACGAAAGAAACAGCGCGAGGCGCCGGAGTCTAACGTGAAGGTGTGCAGGGCCTTAGCAGTCGCAGTACCAGGGGGGGTACCAGACGCACTAGCACCTAGAGCAGCAGCGGCTATACCTGGGTCAGGCGGCACACACCAGTAACAGTCACCCTCAGCACTAAAAGACAAAGCATACATGGCAGAGATAATAACATCAAAGTCTAGGTCAAAGATGGCAACTCCCGACCTAAACAACTCCGCCCAGCGAGGGCGCTCATCACCAAACTCAGTGCGCCAGGCGTCGTCAAGGCGGGCAAAGCAGCGGCGCTCAGTGTGAAACCGCCCGCATGTCTTGCCCGCACGGGCACCCGTGCGAATGACATACGGGCAGGTCTCACTACCCTCGCCCGCCCCACGCTGAACCAACCACTCACGGAGCTGCTGAGGCGTCTGAGTCTCGCTCCGACGCTGCTGCTGCTGGCCCCGACCGCCACCAGGGCCGCCACGCTGAGGTCCAGACCGACTACCACTGGTCCCACCGCCTCCACTGCCGCCACCCCCTCCGCTGCCTCCACCGCCGCCACCAGAGCCTCCACCTCCGCCACCGGTCCCACCGCCGCCACCACCTCCACCGCCTCCGCCTCCTCTACCGCTGCCCCCACTGCCACGCCCACTGCCACCTCCACCACCACCGCTGCCTCCTCCACTACCCCGGCCACCCTTGCCCTTGCTGTTGCGGCGCTTCGTACTAGTCGAAGCAGCACCGACGTCCTCAGGAACAGAGACGTCTGCAGCAGCAGCAGAGGCGAAGGAGGAGGAAAGGGGGGAGGGGGAGCACCCCTCAAAGAAGGGTGAGCGCGGGGTGCCACGAGCAGCACCCACAGCAACTGCACTAGTCTCAGCTGCGAGGAGATGCTGCTCAAGGAGGTCAACAGTGAGGGAAGTGGGGTCGAGGGTGAGGAAGTGGTCCCTGACAGAGCGAAGGGAGTCAGGGAGGCGAGTGACTATGAAGTAGAGGGTGATGAACATGGGGGGCTGGTTCGTGGGAAGGAACTCAGCAGGAACGGCAGCGCGGTAGCGGGCGTCGCTAGTGCGCAAGTGGGTAACCAGGTCCGCTACTGTGGCAAAAGCCGACAGCTCAGGGAACAGGTAGGGCAGTAGCAGTCAGCCAAGAGCAGCAGTGGCAGGGGAGGAGTAGCGAGCAACGACAGCGTCGTACAAGGCCTGTGCTGTCCTGTGCTCGCCAAAGTGAGCACATTCTGTTGCGGGCAGGTGGTTGCGAATGGCCAAGCGGGCAGTAGCATCACGAGAGAGCCACTGGGAACGAGTTGAAACGTCAGCTGTGGCTGGAGGGGCTGGAGCGGCACCGGACACGAGGTCAAACAGCGAGACACTGTCCCGACTGTCGCTCAGTAGGTACAGTTGCAGATCGTCGTGCCACGTATCAAATGTTACAGGTCTGCCCTCCGGGTCGAACGGGAGAACCCGAAGCAACGCCATAGGGGCAGAGGAGCCTGGGGGGCCGCGGGGCCAAACAGGGGGCCGAGGGACCTAGGGGGCCGAGGGGCCAAACAAGGGGCCGGGGGGCCGGGTGCCGGTCGCTGAGGTGGGGCCGAGTGGCCTAGGGGCCGCGGGGCCAAACAGGGGGCCGGGGGGCCTAGAGGGGGCCAAGGGGCCTAGGGGGCCGAGGGGCCAAACAAGAGGCCGGGGGGGGGGGGGCCGGGCGCCGGTCTCTGATAAGGGGCCGAGGGGCCTAGGGGCCGCGGGGCCAAACAAGGGGCCTAGGGGCCGCGGGGCCAAACAAGGGGCCTGGGGGGGGCTTAGGGGGGCCGAGGGGCCTAGGGGGCCGAGGGGCCAAACAAGGGGCCTTGGGGGCCGAGGGGCCAAAGTAGGGGCCGGGGGGCCTAGGGGGGCGAGGGGCCAATGTAGGGGCCGGGGGGGGGGGGGGGGGGGGTCCCCGGGCGCCAGGCTCTGAGGTGGGGCCGAGGGGCCTAGGGGCCACGGGGCCAAACACGGGGCCGGGGGGGCCTTAGGGGGGCCGAGGGGCCTAGGGGGCCGAGGGGCCAACAAGGGGCCTAGGGGGCCGAGGGGCCAAGTAGGGGCCGGGGGGCCGGGCGCCAGGCTCTGAGGTGGGGCCGAGGGGCCTAGGGGCCGCGGGGCCAAACAAGGGGCCTGGGGGGCCTTAGGGGGGCCGAGGGGCCTAGGGGGCCGAGGGGCCAAACAAGGGGCCTAGAGGGCCGAGGGGCCAAAGTAGGGGCCGGGGGGCCGGGCGCCAGGCTCTGAGGTGGGGCCGAGGGGCCTAGGGGCCGCGGGGCCAAACAAGGGACCTGGGGGGGGGCCTTAAGGGGGCCGAGGGGCCTAGGGGGCCGAGGGGCCAAACAAGGGGCCTTGGGGGCCGAGGGGCCAAAGTAGGGGCCGGGGGGCCTAGGGGGCCGAGGGGCCAAAGTAGGGGCCGAGGGGGGGCCTTAGGGGGGCCGAGGGGCCTAGGGGGCCGAGGGGCCAAACAAGGGGCCTAGGGGGCCGAGGGGCCAAAGTAGGGTCCGGGGGGCCGGGCGCCAGGCTCTGAGGTGGGGCCGAGGGGCCAAGGGGGCTGAGGGGCCAAACAGGTACAGGGCCGGGCGCTGGGCAGGTACAGGGCCGGGCACGAGGCTAGGTACAGGCCGAGCGACGGGCTAGGTACAGGCCGGGCGACGGGCTAGGTACGGGCCGGGCGCAGGCAGGAGACGAGGCCGGGCGCGGGCTAGGTACGGGCCGGGCGACGGGCTAGGTACGTGCCGGGCGCGGGCGTCGAAGTTGGCGGGGCCAGCTGGGCCGAGGCGACGGGCTAGGTACGGGCCGGGCGACGGGTTAGGTACGGGCCGGGCGACGGGCTAGGTACTGGCCGGGCGACGGGCTAGGTGCGGGCCTGGCGCGGGCGACGAAGTTGACGGGGCCAGTGGGGCCGAGGTGACGGGCTACGTACGGGCCGGGCAACGGGCTAGGTACGAGCCGGGCGACAAGCTAGGTACGGGCCAGGCGCGGGCGACGAAGACGGCGGGGCCAGCGGGGCCGAGGCGACGGGCTACGTACGGGCCTGGCGACGAGCTAGGTACGGGCCGGGCGCGGGCGACGAAGACGGCGGGGCCAGCGGGGCCGAGGCGACGGGCTACGTACGGGCCTGGGGACAAGCTAGGTACGGGCCGGGCGTGGGCGACGAAGACGGCGGGGCCAGCAGGGCCGGGCGCGGGCGACAAAGTCGACGGGGCCAGCGGGGCCGAGGCGACGAGCTAGGTACGGGCCGGGCGACGGGCTAGGTACGGGCCGGGCGCGGGCGACAAAGTCGACGGGCTAGGTACGGGTAGTGCAGTAGGTGGTGGGCCCATTGAGACTAGGTCCTAAGACTTAGTTGCTCTTAATACCATGTTAGAATCCTTAGGTGAGAATGATTGACTAGGAAGCAAGGAAGGGTACAAGTAGAATGTCGAGAGAATTCTGTACCCCCTAAGGCTAAACCCACTATAGCCTAGACAAATGTAAACACATGAACTAAGCCTAGATATAACTAAGCATATATGTTTGACAGAAGGAGGAGGAGGAGTCAAGTGAGAGGCGGGGTGCTTGTTGAGGGGATGGATTTAGCACGTTGGCTCACGGCAATGGCGGGATGGCATGGCGTGCGTGGAAGAGAGCACGCAAGGTGAGATGGCAGACTCAGTGCAAGGCAGCATTGGCACGCGCACCGCACCTCATGGTGTTTCTCTGGCTCTCGCTCCTTGAGACATGCTGGCGGAAGGTTGGCAGTCAGATTCTGGACGGGTGGAGTGGAGCCATGGGGGAGAGGGAGGGAGAGAACAAGGAGGAGGGAAAGGGAGGAGAGAAAGTGGAAGGGAGAGAGAAGTGAGAAGGACGGCAGGTATGGGTAGGTGTGAACTTGCATCTCCTGACTTGCTCACATGCATGCTCTGACTTGCTCACATGCATGTTGTGCACTTCAGCAAAGAAGTTGGCAACCCTCCTGGTGTTGTTGACGTCTGGACTGCACATGGGGAGAGAGGGAGGGAGAGAGATACATAGACGCATGCACAGACATGGGTCTAGGGTTTATAAGAAAAAAAGCACCTTCAGTACTTGTGATAAAAAAAAATCAACACGTCAATGCGCTCTTACAATTCAACCTATACGAGTGAAAGAGGATTGAATACGAGTGAATAGGAGTGAAGAGGGGTGAATAGGAGTGAAGAGGAGTGAAGAGGAGTGAAGAGGGGTGAAGAGAAGTGAAGAGGGGTGAAGAGGAGTGAAGAGGGGTGAAGAGGAGTCTTACACGTCGAGGAACATGGATGAATCAGCAAGGCAGCACACTCGCATGGAGGGAGAGGCGGCTGTGAGAGTGTCCTTCACTCGATCGCAGTGCAGCAGCGCCGCCACTTCTCCCGCTGAACACCCCGACACCACCACCTGCTCGGTTAACGGGTGGGAGGGAAACGCAGGGTCGAAGGAAGGGAAGGGGGGGAAGGAAGGGAGTCACAGACAAGCGGGGACGAAAGGGGGAAGAAATGGCTTCCAGCGGCTTCCAGTTCTAGCGGCTTCCAGTGAAATTCCTGCCATGAAGGAAGGACAGAGTCTGCCTCGGCTGATCGCTGCGCTACAAGCAGGTGAGCAGCACGCTACAGCTACCTGAGGTTGAGGAAAGTAGCAAGATGAGGCACTGAGGAGGGAAAGGAGCAAGGATGTCTTTTCATCTCAGGACAGATCCCAGTGGGAATCCAGGGAGGGCAGAGAAACCCATGACGCGTGTCAAACAGAAACCCCGGGGTTTCTATTTCCCCTCCCCCTTCACTCCCTGTGTGCCTGCTCTCACGCTCCCCCCTCTCATCCCCCCACACTCATCCCCCCCCCCTCTCATCCCCCCCCCTCTCATCCCCACCCTCTCATCCCCCCCCTCTCACCCGCCCCCCTCTCATCCGCCCCCCTCACCCTGTCCGCGTGACCAAGCCCCTTCTTCTCCATGAGGTGCTTCACCAGCAGGTCCGCCACTTGCCTTCCCCTCACCCTCCCCACTCTCACCATCCTGAAAGCACGTGGTCCGTGGACCCCAGGCGCGTGTGCGCCCTGTATGCGCAGCCGTGGGGAGTCGCGCACCACGCGCCGCCCTGTAATGCGGGCGGAAGGGGAGAGTGGAGGGAAAGCGGAGGGAGGTGGGGGGAGGGGAAGGGAGGCGGAATGGAAGGAAGACAAGGGAGGGTAAGAAAAACAGTAGAGGTAAGCAAGCAGGGGATGGAGGGCAAACAAGGGAGGTGGAGGGTAAGAGAGAGTTAGTGACAATTGAAGAGAAGGAGGAAGTCGTTCGTTAGAGTCACACCTCATAAAACAGCAACCAGCTGTTCTGTCCCGAGCCGTAGCCCTTCCGATAGTAGAACCCAGGGGCCGATCCGTCCAAGCACACTGCGCCCTCCGCGAGCCCTTCTTCCGCCAGAATCAGCTGCAGCGGCGGAATCTGCGCCTCCGCCTCCGCCTCACCGCCACTGGCGGAAGGCGCGGAATCCTTCACGACAAACCCGTCTCCCTCTGCGGAAGCACGGGGGAAATCCTTCACTAGCTCTGCCGCGGGCTCCTCCGCGGGTTTCGCCGCCGTCGCGGGACTGTTTCCGCCTCCGCCCGCTGCCAATTTGCGGGGCGCCGCATTCCCGCCCGATCCGCGCACACCGCCAGCTGCAGTTGCGACGAGCAGCAGGGCAACGAGACCCGCTGCCGGCGCCGCGATTGGCGGGAAGCCCCGGCGCGACATGACGACAGGCGCGCGGAACTCGTTCTAAGAGCGGAGGAGAAGGGGCGGCGGAGGAGAGGGCGGCGGAGGAGGGGGCGGCGGAGGAGGGGGCGGCGGCTAGCGGAGAAGGTTCGACGGAGGAGGCGGATGATACCGTGGTGAGCAGTAGACGCCTATACCGCCCGATGGCCGATAATAGCACAGGCAAAGTGCCTTCAAATCAGGTCCAGCAGCGGCAGCAGCAGTGTTACAAGTTGGGATTCGCCATGCCTGCGTGCATGGGAATACCCGAACGGTTGGAACTCCCCTTGCCTAGATAGCTCCGAATATAGATAGGTGTTAACCTCGAAGCTCACTCTCTCATCCTCGTCACTGATTAGAAGGTACTAGAATCCAGCAGAGCGTGGCATCGAGGCGCTATGCCAAGATGCCATGCTAGAAGCGTGGCGATAGGGTTTTCCTTACGAGCCGCGCTTCCTCCTTCCTAGCATAAAGTAGCTTCTCTGAATCTTGTAATCATGCTATTCCGTATTCTTCTAATCGTCTATCCTTGAAATCTTTCTTCTCACCTCTCTCGTCTACGTCTCTTGGAGCTAGGCCTCCTCTCTCTCTAGCCTAGTCTCTCTTATTCCGCTGCGATTACTCTTCTACTTTCTAGCTACGGCGCCCCCTTCGCCTAGGCCGGCCAGGCCAGCTGCGCCGTAGCCTTGTTTCAAGCAGCAGAGGCAGGAGGAGAGGGGAGCGAGAGCGTGAGGAGTTGCTCGTGATTGTCACGTCTCGCAGACGTGGGTACTACTAGATGTGGCATGATCGTAACCTGGATGTCACATCTAGTAGATCCCTCTGCTCGCCGTAACCTGCACAGGGACTCTAGGAAGTGCCGATCGGGGGCAGGCCAGGCGCGTCGGGTCGGGGCAGGATCGGCCCTGATCGCTGGGGCAGGGGGGACAGGTCGGGGCAGGTGGTGGGGCAGGTGGGGCAGGTGGTGCGGCAGGGATAGTAGAAGCTGGCGAAATTCACTGGGTTCCCCTTCAGATCTTATATGTAGGCGCGCGTATACGCGCGCCGGGTCGAAGCGACGAAAGAGATCTCCCCCCACCCCCAGAAGTCCCCCCTTCTCCTTCTTCCGTCCTCCCCCGGACTCCTCTCTCCCCATTCCCCCTCGCCCCTTCCAGTTTTCCTGACTAATGCCATGCGACGCGAATACTCTTCGGACGGCTGTCAGGGAACCCTAGGGCCTAGGACGTCACAAAAATCCAGGCCTCCAAAATCATCGGATGATAATCGCCCAGATGGTCCTGAGAAATTCATTTTGGCAGGAAGTGTGGCTAGCGAAATCTGTCGTCACGTGGCCTCGGTTGTTGGGACTCGCGGCAGTAGGCGAACGGCGGCTCGCCTTGTGGTACAACGCAGCTTGCTACAGCTCTGAGAATGTATCCATCTGAATATATTTATCAACGGCATGAGAACCCTAAATTTGGAAGACTGGAATTGCGGCATTTTCATAGTCTGTGGCGAGAAGATTGTACACTAATTGCCTCGTTTCCAAACCTAATTTTCATTTACAACAGATAGGCTCCCGCACTCACCCAAGGGCGGTTCCCTCAGGGAGTGGTGTACCGATTGTTGAACGGGTCGTTCAAACGACTACCGTACTGCAATTAAGAAAGCCTTAATGAATCATGCTTAACCATGTTCAGCCTTTGATTTATCTCAACTAGAGCTGAATGAGCAACCCCATATTTTTTCTAAAGGATTGAAAAATATGTCCTGAGCTTACGCCAGGTGTCGAGGAAGCACTGCAGCCAAGGCACGCGAACGTGTTTTGAGTACAATTATAAAAACCGACAGACGAGTCGAAACTTCACTGTAGTTGACATGGGGCTCTGATCGCGATCAGGATGAATGGGCTCGAGGGTATTCAAATGTTTAGGGTCGTGTACAGTATCCGCACGCATTCTTCAGGTGGTTTGAACGGCAAACTCGTGTCAGGTGAGGTGCAGATGCTCCTGGTTTGACCTGCAGATTCTTCAGCTGGTGATCTGTACAGTAAGTCTATGTGCCTCTGTACGCTACTGTACCAATAGCGGATCAGGTTCTTTCAGGTGCAATGCTTCTCTCACGCACGGTTCTGTGGTGCACTTCCGGACTGGTGCTGTGGCAGGCTTGTATTCTGTGGTGGGTACAAAAGTCAACGGGAGTTGAGACTAGCTGACGCTGCAAGGAAGTACAGCACAACACCCTTGAGCAGTGGTGTCCAGCAACCCAAGTCATTCTTTCGTGTTAATCTTCCGTTGTTGGAAAATGCTCTTTGCCATCAGAGCTAAATTGGGCTTCCAAGAGGTATCTGGGGTTCCCACTCCAGCTTCAGTTCCGAATTTAGGTATAATTGTGCAGTCTATCCAACAGTGGGGACTCAGGGATACAGAAAATGTACCATAAATGTAGTTCTATTGTGAGTTCTGAAGTATAGAGGCACTGCCCGTGATATTTGTAGTCCCTTGATCTGATTTGGCGTCGGGCTTGCATTTTTTTCTGCCAAATCAGCTGTAGGCTTTTGTACAGGTCCGGCATTTGTCTAACTTGCCAAAGATGGCACATCGAGCAGTTGAATGAACAGCTGAGATTCAACGCACGCGCTGTTGTGGCGATGTACAGATGTTCTCGTTTATAGTCCGACGGAATGAGGCGCCGCGCGCGGACTATGTGCGAAAACCTTGAAACCCCGGGCAAAACGCGATACTTATAGTCCCGTTCAAGAAAATTGCATGAAGATTGGTTTGTTTGCTACTAGTTTTGGATTTCGTCTTTTACGTAGATTCGGACCACGCTTGCTTCAACTTCTCGTTGCACGGTTCCCCGCGCTGATCAATGTCCGCATGACTAACGGGCAAAACAAAACAAAATCAATTATGGTTTGGGGGTCGAATAGAAGGTAAAAACTTCAATTTTACCCTGTAAGCGAGATAAATGAGATGTCATCGTCGAGAGTAACTACAGAGTAACATCAACATTTGTACTTTGCATGCGCCCCTGGTGGTCCTTTCGTAAACGGGCTTGGGGAAATGGCCTAGAGGATAAACGGGATCCCAAACTTACATGCTGAAAAAGGATGGCGAAGTCAACACCACTGTAGGCGTAGCAGGCATGACATGTGTGTTCCCCTCCAGCTCTCCTAACATGCCACACTCCATCCATCCGTATCAACTGACTGTAACAGTACGTGCCTCCCCTACATTTGCTTTCTTAACATGCATGCTTCTTTTGTATGTTCATACTAATCTGCATCAGCCTTTTCCTTTTTAGGGGAGAGAGAGGGGTTGAACCACAGCGCGTCAGCATGAGAGTGGCTGTAACAGTATGTGCCCAACATTATTTCTGCGCTCCCGGCACGCCACGCCATACTTCTTCTGCTGCGTCACAGTAGCCATGCCGAAATGTGCATACCGTACTGTTCCTCATTAGCTATTTCTGCTCCCCCGACACGCCATACTTCTTCTGCCTCTTACCCAACTCCTCCTCGCTCTTCCTCTGCTCACCCATCCCAGAAAGCACCACACATCCCCGACAACGTCACAGTAGCCGCACCAGCATGTACCTCGCGCTATTTCCGAGGCGCCTCAAAACTAGACTATTTCTGTTCCCCCGACACGCCATACTTCTTCTGCATCTTATCCAGCTCCTCCTCGTTCTTCTTCTGCTCACCCATCCCCGCAACACCCACACAGAGAAGAAGGGAAGCGAAAGGAGAGGGGTGGAACAGAAAGGGGAGAGCGCGGGAAAAGGGGCAGAGGTGACATGTGAATATGCCTGTACTGGTTGCTGGTCGAACATAGTGCGCAGAAACCATAAAGCAGCAGTGCGAAAGTGGGATCGGATAAGCCTCTAATGAAGGAGCACATCCTAATCCCACCTCACTCACTTCTGTTGTTCTGGACGGTCGGTTGCACCTGAGACTGCAGGGCAGCAGAGCAGACCTTACCTGGCCAGTCTTCTTGGTGAATTGGCCTGCTGGTACCTAGTACTATGAGGTAGCAGTTGGCCACATTGAACCTCTAAACGAGGAAGCACACCCCAATCACAACTGTAAACTGGACTCCTGGTTGGAAGTAATGCACAAAGCAGGTAAAGCATACCTGGTCGATCTTCTTGGTGAACTTGGCCTGCTGGTAGCAGAGCACTATGAGGTACCGATTGGCCACGTTGAGCCTCCCAACAAGGAAGCACATCCCAGACCCAGGTCAACCCTTTTCTTTAAAAAGGATGCTGGCTGTACTACCGTACTGGGTCTGCAGAACACAACAGCATACCTGATCAATCTTCTTGGTGAACTTGGCCTGCTGGTAGTAGAGCACTATGAGGTAGCGGTTCGCCACGTTGAACCCTGACAGATGCTCCACGGCGTTCTTGGCGTCGTAGATGTCCTCATACACCACAAAGGCTGTACCTCGCGTCTCCTTTGTCACTCCGCTGAAACAGGCAGAAGGCATGAGGCAGGGAATCGAAGGACATGAAACGCAGGGGGGGCAAGAAGAATGCTCCACGGCGTTCTTGGCATCCTATATGTCCTCGTACACCACGAATGCCGTTCCCCGCGTCTCCTTTGTCACCCCACTGGAAATGGGATACGATTAGAGGAGAGAGACAAGGAAGAAGAGGTTGCAAGAAGGAATGTCCTGACAGATGCTCCACGGCGTTCTTGGCGTCGTATATGTCCTCGTACACCACAAAGGCTGTTCCTCGTGTTTCCTTCCTTACTCCGCTGCAAGAGGCAGAAGGCATGACATGAGGCAGAAGGCATGACATGCAGCAGAAGGCATGACATGAGGCAGAAGGCATGACATGAGGCAGAAGGCATGACATGAGGCAGAAGGCATGACATGCGGCAGAAGGCATGACATGAGGCAGAAGGCATGACATGAGGCAGAAGGCATGACATGAGGCAGAAGGCATGACATGAGGCAGAGGGCATGACATGAGGCAGAAGGCATGACATGAGGCAGGGAATCGAAGGACATGAAACGCAGGGGAGGCAAGAAGAATGCTCCACGGCGGCGTTCTTGGCGTCCTATATGTCCTCGTACACCACGAAGGCTGTTCCTCGTGTCTCCTTTGTCACTCATCTGGAAGTAGAAAGAGGAATGAGAAAGGGAGGAAAAAATGAGGTTGCAACAGAATGTTCCACGGCGTTCTTGGCGTCGTATATGTCCTCGTACACCACGAACGTTGTTCCACGCGCCTCCTGTGTCACTCTGCTGGACCAGGCATAAGGCATGAAGCAGGGAATTGAAGGGGGGGCAAGAAGAATGCTCCACGGCGTTCTTGGCGCCATAGCTGGCCCCATACATACACCACGAACGATGTTCCCGTGGCTTAGTCACCCCTCTGGAGGAGATTAGTGTGCTGGGGGAGGGACGAATGCCGGCTTTGAGGCATCTGGAATCAAGAAGAGCTGGAAGCTGTCCTTCGAGCAGAGAACCCCACCCCAGTTTGTGTCATACTTAGACACACGGGACTGGGGTTAGCTGCGAAGACGCCCCGAAGGGTATGGCAACCTTTCTGCAACAAACTGGCTGCTACAGCACGAGGCTGTGCCCGCTGTGTTGCACAGTTGATGCACCAAACACGAATCAACCGATAAAAAACCGACTGTCGAGAGTACCAAAGACTGGTGAAGATGAGCGTGGAGATGCCTGGCCCGGCGCAACGACTCACATGCGTATTTGCCTGATGGCGCCGTATTTCCCAAAAATGTCGTACATTTCCTCCGATGTGATGTTGAATGGTAGGTTGCTGTTGGGAGGGGCATCAAGTGGTATAGAGGGGTAGAAAGGGGTAGGAAGGGGTAAAGAAGGGTACTAAGATGCCACACTGACTTATTGGGTGTGATGTTGAAGGGCTGGTTGTTGTGCGTTGAAAGTGAGACAGAACAGGGCAGAGAGGCGCAGAGGGTGGTTGAGAGGGGCAGAGCGGGGCAGAGAAGGGTGGTGGGCGGTAGGGAGGGGCGAAGCGAAGGGAACAAGAATGAGAATGTGCCGCAGATTGCAAGAGTGAGCAACAATTGTAGGTGTTACACAGTCAACAAGCAGCAAGTAGCAGAGTGGAGAATTCTCAAAAAGTGACTCCCAAAGAAGAGAATGACAAACTTGCAACCACATGGTGAGAAGACGATGCATGCTCACGCACATAAGACGATGCATGCTCACGCACATAAGACGATGCATGCTCACGCACATAAGACGATGCATGCTCACGCACATAAGACGATGCATGCTCACGCACATAAGTGGTTTGGCTTGTTGCGGACCAGCCACTTACACACTCCCACACACACCCCCTTCCACACCCCTCACACTCCCTCACACCCCTCACACACTCCCTCCCACACTCCCTCACACACTCCCTCCCACACTCCCTCACACACCCCCCACTGCACTCACCGCACGTAGATGGCTCTGTTAACTTCGGGCGGTAATCGGACCTGGGCAGGAGAGAGATAGAGGGAGGGGGGAAAAAGCGGGAAGAGAAAGTGGCTGAATGCGGCTGGGAGGGGTGCAAGGAGTCCAACCACTTTGCCTTTCGTGATCCAACGCTGGGATTCTTGAGACCATGAACTGGGCGCAGACGTCCTAAGCGAATGACTTTAAAACGAATCAAAACTGGATTTCTAAGTGGAGACTCGTGTAACGCCAGCATGGAAACGACACCTGTTCTCACACGCAACTATCGTAGTACCTAGGTTAAGTAACCAAGACGACAAAACAGCCTGGTTAGACTATGAAACGAGCAGACGAAGTAGGATTCCCTCCGCCTAATAAGAGGAACTTTACGTGGAGTCTTAGACAAGTAGCAGCAGCAACTAAGCCCACACAAGGAGCAACCAGCGCGGATCACGCTGCTTTCCTTAACTACAGGGGTTGAGACTAGCAATTGCGGATGAGACGTTACAAGTTAACCTTCCCGGTCGTTCGGCAATTGCTGAGACGGAAGAAAGTAAGACGACAAAAGAGAGAACGCCAAAACTTACATTCCGCCTATTCATCGTGCTTTAACTTTCTTGCGTACGTCCTCCTGAGACCTTCGGGAATCTACCCGCTTGAGGAATTCCAGTGATTGTATCCCGATTAGGAAGCGAAACCTTCACACAACTTTTCTGTTTCGTGGTAGGAAGACGGCTCGCGAATCACGGCCCAGCTAGCTCATACACAATAACAGCTAGGATCCGAGAGCTAGTGCCTGAATCGAGAAGGCGAACCAACTACCCCACGCTGAAACAAACTACCAGCTAGGTCGAAAGTGATAGCACAACAGGAGCAGCTCGCAACTAGCAATTTCCCAGGCATGATAATTCTGAGTACTTGATGAGGTCGTGTTCTGCAGCTGGGGTGGGCAGCTAGAGACGATGTTGGCATTTACTCAGAAATGCTGCAGATCAGAGTAGCGGGACATTTCCTATGGCGTATGCGAAACCCGTTACAAACGGACATCCCTTCTGCGTCATGAGTAAAGCGGTTTTCACCCAAATTTCAATGTGTAAACAGCAAGGAAACAAGCTCTCTGTTTATTAGAGATGTCACACATACCACTTTAGCCAGACATAGCTTGAAATACAATGAACCTAGAAGGATTTATTATATCATTGCTAGCTTCCATCAAATAACAAATGCGTCCTGAGACAATCTCATGTGCAGCCCATGGCCATCTCGCTGAATCTTTCAACCCATCCCGGAACTATTCTCCTGTTTTTTCTTAACTGCGCAAGTATACCATGCTGCCTCATCTGAAAAGTTGGTTTACGAGTCAGAAAATAGGATTGAGGTATGAAGGGGCCGATTTCAAGTCAGAGGTGAGCATTGCGTGTGCACGGTGGGCAGTGAGGGATGAAACGCAGATAGAGTAACGGATGGTAGGGATCAGGATGGATGATCAAGGGGAGTGTGCGGCGGAGGGAGATGGAGAGAGAGAGCAGGTGGAAACGAGGTGAAGGAAGTGAGGAAGCTGATGGAAGTCATGAAACGAAAGACTGGAAGGATATGTGGGATGATGGGACGAGCAAGTGGAAGGAGACGGGAGGAAGGAGATTTAAGACTTTGAGGAAAGAATGTTTGTGGCCCTAATGCGGACAATGGGGAGACTATGGCAGAAAGGAGGAGGGAAACCCAGAGGAAGGGGTGCCCAAAGGGAAGAGAACCAATTTGGAGAGGAAAGAAACCCAGAGGGAGAGGAGAGGAACCCAGAGGAAGAGGAAAGAAACCCAGAGGAAGAGGAGAAGAGCCCAGAGGAAGAGGAGAGGAACCCAAAAGGGGAGGAGAGGAACCCAGAAGGGGAGGAGAGAAATCCAGAGGGAGAAGAGAGGAATCAGAGGGAGGGAAAACCAAAAGGGAGGGGAACCCAGAAGGGGGGGAGCGGGAGGGAAACTGAGGTTGGATAGAGGAAATATTGGATATAACGAGTGAGGGACTGGGAGAGGGGAGTGGGGGATTGTGCAGTTGCTTGGCACGGACGTTGAAGGAATAGAGGTGAGAGTGGGGCCATGGGTTACAAGGAAGGGGGCGAATGACGTGGAACCATTTCTTGTTTATTTAAGCTTCTGGTTCGGGGTTTTATTTTTCTTTGTTTTCTTCCATCTCCCGCGTTCAAAAGCATATGAAGAGTGCCTTCCAAAATGACCGTTACATACACTGAAAATGCATTCGCCTTCTTTACAAACAACGAGGCTTTCTCACAGGCCATTCCGGCGATATTTATTTCATAAATCAGCAGAACATGCATGATAGCACACGGAAAAAAACAATCAATAAAGACGCAAATTCACTCACGATACTCTGATTCCAAATCCCTGAATCGAGCCATCAGGATTCTCCACCACAATCGTTCTCGGGGAGTGCCTCGCAAGCATCCCGTTCCAGTGACCCTGACAGCAACACGTGGCTTCCGCGCAGCACGGCGTCGTCGGCAATCTCCGCGTGGCCCTCGCCGCTGATAGCGTATCGAGCGCTCTGTGACTGTAACAGAAGGGCGAACGCGTCCGCACGAACGCGGCGTAAGCCGCCGTGCCTTTTCTCGGGGCGAAGCTCGTCCGTCCAACCTTCACCTCCACTTGTATCGCTCCACACGCGCTTTCTCCGATGATGAATTTCCGCACCAGAGGAAAGAAATGGACGTGCGTTTGGTCGTACTGTCGAATCGCTAGTTCTAACGGTATCGTAGCGCGACCTAAGGACGTTCTTAACGACGCTGACGCGTAGATCTTGACTATAACATGCGGGAACGGTTTCGTTAGGTTGTTCTCATGTGCATTTGAGTCTGCGGGTTCGTCCAAGCGTAGAAGATGGTCAGGGACAGAGAATTCTAGAAGGGTGTCCCAGACGGGATTCGCGTGGCCGTGTTTTACGGGAGGTAGGAATTGGCTAGAGCGAGCGTCGCCGTATGCTGACACGACCGCGCAGGGACTCATTCGCCTAAAGACCTTCGCTTTGTGCAGGTTGTGCGCCGATATGAGCCGTATGGACACCATCGTCGAGCGGGTAGGCTCTTCTTCGTCTGGTCTCATGACCACTGAACTTAAGATTCTAATAGTTTAGGCTCAACTTGGAAGTGAGTCTCTCGAATTCTGAAGAAAAAAACGCCTTAACTTCGTTGTACAAGAAGCCCTCACAGAAACAGAACAAAACTATGCTTCGGAACTGCCAGAACAAGTGTCATGGGGCCCTAGACCAGTGAAAGAATTCCTTGGTTGTTCTGCCGAATGTACATTCCCACGAATTCCAACACAGCGACATGAGAGCAAGACGATGATGGTTAGCGCTGGGGCGAGAGTGACATGAGAAAGGAGGTGTGTGCAACGAATGCACTCTCGAATCCTGACAGGGAACCAGCGATGTGCATGTGGCAGTGGATGTGGATGTGTGGATGTGATTCCTTCGCGACTGTGCCTTAGGTTGGTGGATGGTGCTTAGCGGTGGTTGGGAGGGATGGGGTGGGGTGGTGTTGTCGAGTCGTAAAAGTGTATTCCCTCGGGTAGTTTCGCCCGACTGACAGCGGTGCAAAGCATTGGGACAAGTGACTTGCGGAACTGCCTGGATGAGCAAGAGCTAAACATTGCACGACGGCTGCATGGTGTATAATGGAGAAATTATATTTCGAGGCTGACTCAACGTCTACATGACTCCTCATCGAAGCACTTAACGGTTTGTTTTAAGTGAAATGTTTGCAGAAGGACTAATGTGTGTGTTATATTTTCTGTGGCTGGTACCCTAGCTTGTGAAGGCCGTGAAGTGAAACCACCTTCACATTTTCTGTGACAGAAAAGTGAAGTGACTATGACCGAACTCTTGCTGTCACAAGACCAAGCCTTCTCCAATCAGCACGGTCCTCGGCCCCGAGATTCTCGTGAAGGCATCTTCTCAGGACAAATATCTGGCCCTCCCCTACCACTAAGGGTCAAATGGTTCTCGTTTTGCCCCGTCGGAGAAACATGACTGATAAGGTCAGGTCAATCGGTACGGAAAGGTTGAGATTTTGAAGAATAAGATCGGACGAACAAGAGCAGTTCCTGTGTGGTTGGGGTTTGCGTGACGTGTACACAAAGATGCTGGGACTTGACAGGCACGGACCTTCGATATTGACAGGCTCGAAACTATCTCAAAGGCCATGTAAAATATACTGCCATTAATTGAATCAAACACGTTTAAAAGGTGTCCACCAACAAAAAATGTTAGTCACCAAGGGACAAGGAAGAGCCACCAGGAAGGCTACCCCGCCCACCATCACCCGCGTCGCTCATTAATCCTTCACCGTAACCCGTGTTCGTGAGATATGGCTTCTTGCGTATCGCCACCCGCCATCGCCACACGCGAAAGAGCTTCATTGGCACGTATCGCTCCACCGCGACAGGTCAGAGGTGTAGCCAGACAAAGTCTGGCCAGAAAACGTCTTACAGGTCATCTGGAGGTCACGACTTTCGGATATCGCCCACTTTCGTCCCTCTTTTCTAGGTCCGACTCGTTAAGCGGTAGTTTAAGTTCTAGCCTTCTAACGAGGAAACCACATACGCAAGCATTTCCGCGTGGCACAGCTCGCATTAGAGCCTCAGCGCAAGTCGCGGAAGAATATGAAGCAGGGGTACCGGAGGATGCGGGATCCGACGAAGATGACGTGGCAAGCGGGGATTGGCTGGATACCGAGACTGGAAGGTTACGCGTGCTTGCATGCATGCAGACGATATACTCTCGGATCACGATTCTAGAGTTCGCGGAAATTCAGCCGGGGAAAGCGTCGGAGAGGGGGCAGCCGGAGGAGGGGGGAGGTGGGGGAGGGGACGACGCCGACGATCCTTCTTTGGTGCTAGCCGGATCGCGGGTCATGCTATTGGACGACTCGAACAACGTGTCGAGTCTTTACAACAAGTGCGTGTCAGGCAGTAAAACATATTATCCAATCAAGTTTGGGGGTTCAACATCGTGGTTTCGGGTTTCCGAGTTCCCCGCTTCTACTCCCTCCTTCGAAACCATTCAAAATCCTTCTTCTTTTCCATTCAATGTCCCGTCCTCACCGAACCATACTACTCTGTTTCGCTGAAGTCTCCCTTCTCACCCCTTCGTTTTCCTTCCGTCCACCTCTCCCTCCCTACCCAACCCCACCCAAACCCCTCCTCAGGCGAACCGTCTGGACGCGGTCCTACTGGGACAACCTCGCGTCGCTGGCCCCGTTATTGTCACACGAGCTCGGCTCTGGCGGGAACGCGCCCCTGCCCGGGCCAGTGGCGCTGCTGGGGCTGGCAGGGGGCTCCGTGGCTCGCATTATAAGAACGCAGTGGCCGGAGGTTGGCGTGCAGGCGTGGGAGATCGACCTAGTGGTGAGTGCGTAGGTGCACGGAATCAGTGAGGTGCCTTGGGGATTGTTTTCGTGGTGTGGATTGTGGGAGGAGAGCACAGTGGCTGGAGGTCGGCGTGCAGGCATGGGAGATCGACCTATTGGTGAGTCCTGAATGGGTGGCAAAACTGTGAATGCGTGCAGAGGTTTGTTTTATGTGTGTCGGAGATTGTCTTGGCTCTGTGGCTTGGGATGTGGGAGCGCAGTGCTGGCAGTTGGCGTGCAGGGGGTGTGGGGAAAATAGAAACGCAGGTGGGTGAGTGCATGCCGGGGGAGCAATACCAATGAGGGAGGGGAAGCGGGTGGATGAAGGGTGCTGCAGGGGCTGGAATAGGGTTTTTTTGTCCACGTTATGAGAACAGAATGGTTGGCTGTTGCAGCCCAGGCGTGGCAGGTCGACCAAGCGGTGAGTGCAAGGTGGGTGACTTTCGAGTCGACTAAGAAGTCACCTCGTTAGATCGTCACCAAGTGGTGAGTGCAACGTGACTTTCGAGTCAGCCTGAGAAGTCACCTTGTTAGAATGTCACCGAGTGGTGAGTGTGTGCAGGGAAGGCGATAGCAAGGGGCCAGAGGAGGTGGATGAGATGAGCGGGCTGCTAGATCTGGTGGGGGGCTCTCCGTGGCTCGCACTACCGGAGCAGAGTGGCCGGCGGTATGCAAGCGTAGGAGATAGTCCTAGTGGTGGGTGGTTAAGGCGAGTGGTTGAGTAAAACCACTTTTATCTTTCTCTCTCGCTCACCCACACTCATGTGCATGCTCTCACACACATGCGCCCACACATGCACACATATCCTGTCACATGCACACATGCATATCCACACACGTTGTGACATATCCACACAAATACACACACCGACACACTCTCATGCACACACTGATACGCTCTCATGCACACACCGACACGCTCTCATGCACATCACTCACCATGCTTCCTTCTTCCCCTGCCCATCAGGTGGTGGACATGGCTCGCCGTTTCTTCTCTTGTGAGTCGACTCAAAGGTCACATCACTCACCACGCTTCCTTCTTCCCCTGCCCATCAGGTGGTGGACATGGCTCGCCGCTTCTTCTCTTCTGAGTCGACTCAAAGGTCACATCACTCACCATGCTTCCTTCTTCCCCTGCCCTTCAGGTGGTGGACATGGCTCGTCGCTTCTTCTCCCTCGCCTCCTTGGAAAAACCCTCGTTCGAGGGAGGCTACCTGCATGTGACTGTAGGCGATGCACTTCTAGCAGCTCCAGTCCCTTTACAAGGCACCAGTTTATCTGCTGAAGCTGTTACTGTAGATCATGCTACTGTAGATGATGCTACAGCCGGGCAGCAGCAGTTCAGTGGCATCATAGTGGATCTCTTCTCAGGTGGTGCCGCCCTCCCTCAGCTAGCAGACGAAGCCACCTGGCGGCACCTGAAGAACCACCTGAGCCCTGAAGGCAGGGTGCTGATCAACTGCGGTGGACCTAGCAGCTGCTTCGGCGAATACCTGAAAGCAAGCTCCGAGCAAAGCCAGTCTGCCGAACCAGAAGCAAAGGAGGGGGGTCGAATGGCTGAAATAGCAGCAGCAGCCAGGGGTGATCCCGGTATGAGGCGATGTGCCGAGGTGATAGAGGCTATGAGGAAAGTTTTTGACGGGCAGGTGCTGATCTACTGCACCAGCGGGTCAGATAGAAACATTTTCGCATTGACTGGGCCGCCCCCTGATTCTGACGCCTGGGAGGAGAAGCTGCCCGAACAGATCAAGGGAGCTGCTAGAGGCTGGAGCGCAAATGAAGATGTGTACAGTTTATTAGCCTCCAAACTAGTGTAGTAACAGGTAGTGTGGTTTACTAGCGTCGGCTTTAGTGCACGGAACTGTGTGGCCTGTATCACTGTAATTTATTGCCCTGGCTTCCAGTGTGGTCCACTTATGGTAGCTGCCTGTCTCATGATGAACGTGGGCAGGTTACACTGCACCACCAAAATCAGAACAAAGAATACACCAGAATCCAGATCCACCCCAACCGTGCTCTGTCACTACCTCTACCCAGTTCCTGAGTTTCCGCCTAAACACCACCTCCAGTTGCACGTGCATGCTAGAACAACTGCTCTAGTGCTCTTCTGTGCAACATGAGTCTTGGATAGGCCAAAAAGAGGGAGAAGGCCCTGCTTATGCCTCTGAGTCAGGCTGCTGGTTAGAATGTTTGGAGCCTGTCTGAGTTGGTTGAATGGTTAGAGATGCCACCGATGATGTTGTGGAGGTTAGTCATTCCCAGCAAGAATCCACACAAGATGATTGAACCTGCATCCACCTCACAGTCCTGTATTGAAAGTCCTCCATACTCCTTCAGGATGGAAAAACATTTCTCCTTCCGCAACTCATCCCGTTTTGTACCAATGGAGAAAAAAAGAACGACTTTCACTCCCATGCGAAGGAAATCGTTGAGTGATGGGAGCTGCCCCGTCTCACCAGAAACGATAACCACAATCGGAAGGTCAACGAGCCTCCTGAAATTAGGAGCCAGTGTTGAAAGAATCAACAAATACACGAACACGTGTGCGGCAGAGAAAAACCAAGGAGCATGCACTTACTGAACCAATGTATAGCTTCCCTTTACTTTCTTCTGGATTGCGGAGGGGAAGAAGGTACCGCGCAGATCCACTAGCATGGCATCGTCTGCTACGTCAACACCAGGTGGGAGCAACACGATCTCAATACTGCTGCTCCAGATTTCGCTCTTCTTCCTGAAGGCTGCTAACTTCACATACGCTCTAAACCGCGACAGGTGTCCGAGAGTAGCTGTGAAGGTCTTCAGTTGGCCGACAAGCTGGGAGGGAGATCCGCCATGTGGGACCGGCAGTTCCTCGTAGTCCCAGAAGATTTCAAGAGTGCCGTGATTTGCAGGGAGATCAAATCGCGCGGAAGCTTTTCCGCAACCAGGTTCCTGAGCACGCATGGAGCAGGGTACTCGACTTTCGCGTACTCGTTCAAAACACTTTTCTCGAGTCCTAGGAGAACAAGCAACACCTTTTCTTTTTGGCATGCTCTAAGGAAAATTCCCTTTCCTTACTTCGCGCCCCTGCTTACCACGTACAAGACTATTCCCGCCATCGGCAACCAACAGTGAAACGTTACCCGCTCGTGACACTCGCCTCGACACGACTCCCGCCACTGTTCACGATGCGACCCAACCTCACGGTTCGGTTGGTAACCCGCGCTCCGGACCTCCGCCTCAACATTTCCCAACCTTGGCATTGCCCGTAGCGCACCCCATGTTCTCGCGTTACCGTTACCACGCTAGCTTCGCTATATATTCTTCACTCATGCCTTCGCTCATTGTATTGTTTTGCTTCGATAGTGCAATTCTCGCTCGCTCTCTCAATTGCACTCGTAACATTTGGTATTCAGAGCCTACGATCTCTTCTCGGACCGCACCCACACCTTCACTTCCCTCCCCACTATCTCAATTTTTGGAGGGTGTAGACATCTCTCAGCGTTCAGGCACCGCCGTTCGAAGTGCTCTCTCTAAAGCACGCACGGCCACAACTGAGGCTCTCGCTGAGCTTTCCCGACACCCCCGCCATGGCCGACCTCACTCTCGTGACGTTGATACAGGAGCAACTCGACCGGCTCATCCGCCAGCTCGAGGATTCGGTGCTCGAAATCGCGACACTCACGGCGGGAAACGGTGAATGCACTAGCACCATCACAAGCACCTGCAAATGCACCTGCGCAATCGGAGGAGCCGATTATTATTTCGTCCGGCACACCGTCACAACATGACAGTGTGGGACAGCGCTCAGGCGCAGCCAGTGATGGCGCCACCCAATCAATGCCTGGCATGGGGAGGAACAGGGCTGTACCAAGCACGAGCGGGCTGTCATAATACTGAACGAGAATAAATGCATTGAGCAGAAAGTTGGTACAAGTACTAACCCTATTTGGGTTGTACCCCTTATGCGCTACCCCACTACAGCCTACACAATGTAAGTATTATAACATTTTTGACACACCCTCATAGGCAAAGTGGGGGAGAACAAGTGGCGACAAGACCAGTCAAGAAAAAGCAAAGCAAGCTCAGGGTGGATCACAAAGTCACCACACACTCTTAGCACAAGCAGATGGCCACAAGTCCAATTCACATGCAGAGTTATATAAAAGAGAACAAACAGTACAGTGATCATACCCGAGCAAGTGTAAGCATGCACGTAGGTATATATATAGATCACAGTACAAGCAAAGTCACGTAGTGAGCAAGTGAGGCAAAGTAGGCACAAGGCCTAAAACAGTACAGAAACGCTGATGATCACAAGACTGAAGTGCCTTGGTGAATATATCAGCAGTGTTGGCCTGAGTGGCCACGTAAGCAAGACGAAGCTGACCACGCTGATTCAACTCTCGGGCAAGGAAGTAACACAGAGCGATGTGCTTCAGTCTGTGCTCCAGTCTGTGCTCCTGATACAAGGCAATCATGGCCTTGTTGTCTACGTACAGAACTGGAGCAGAACGAGGCCGCTCTCCCAAGTCGGTCAGCAGGTAGGTGAGCCAGCGGAACTCCTGTGCAGCCATGGCCCCTGCGTAGATCTCAGCCTCACAACTGGAACTGAGAACAGAAGACGAGCGGGTAGACCGCCAAGAAACAGAGCCGGAGCCAAGGCTGAAAGTGTAACCCAGTGACGACCGCTGCGTAGCCAAGTCGTCAACCCAAGACGCGTCTTCTTGTCCAGTGAGGACAACTGGACCCCGTCCTCCAAGCACGGCCCCCATGCTAGAAGTACTGCACAAGTAGCGCAACAGCCTCTTAGCAGCCTCCCAGTGCTCTGGTCGGTGTCTCCCGGGCGCAACGTAGCGTGCCAGGATGCTAAGAGGGTAGGCAAGGAAAGGTCGAGTGCAGGTCATCAGGTACATGAGGCAGCCCACAAGCTCTGGATATGGGCCACTCGGCTCTACGGACTCGTCCGAAGATGGAGCTGAGAGCGAGTGACCGGTAGGCGGAGGAGTGGACTGTGGCGAGGAGTACCGGAAGCCGAAGCGCTGAATGACCTGGTGCACCATGTGTGACTGAGTCAGGATGATGGTGCGCCGTGCTCTGTCCCGGATGATCTGCAAGCCAAGATAGCTGCGCAGCTCACCCGGGTCAGTGCAGTTGTGTCTCTTCTGCAGCTCCGACTTCACAAGGGCCAGTGCCGCAGTGTCAGCAGTGGCCAAGACCAAGTCGTCGACATACACGAGGACATAGAACGACGGCAGTGAAGTGTCGGTGCGCAGAAACAGCGATGGGTCAGCAGTCGAAGGAGCAAACCCAAGAGCCGCAAGTGACGTCCTCAATGTGTCGTGCCACTCGCGAGGCGCCTGGCAGAGATCGTAGACTGGCCGCCAGAGGCTCCACTGGGTACCTGCAGGAAGCGACCCAGTGAAGCCAGGTGGGCGGCGCAGCCAGATCTCCTCGTGCATTCTGCCCTGTAAGAAAGCTGTGCTGAAGTGAAGAGAGTGAAGCTCGTAGTCACGTTGAGCGGCGACGTGCAGCACCACCCAAAGAGTGGTCATCTTCGGGGTAGGGGAGAAGGTCTGGAAGAACTCAACTCCATGTCGCTGACTGAATCCTCGTGCAACGTAACGAGCCTTGAAGACAGGCGGAGAACCCGGCGGCTGCTTCACCCTGAAAATCCACATGCCATCGACTGTGTTCGCCCCAGGAGGGGGAACTGCGTTGACGTAGGTGCCTGTGGACTTCCAGGATGCCATCTCTACATCCATGGCTGTCTGCCACTTAGAGGAGTAGGGACCCGTAATTGCCTCTACGTAAGAGCGCGGGGTCGGGATGCCTGGTGCATTCGGGACTCCCTCAGGTGCAAGCCGCATGGCCACGAGATGAGGTACAGCAGCTGCAAGACACTCAAAGTCCTCCGGCCTGTCCTCAAGGACGTCCGTACCAAGAGCACACTCATCCCCGATGGACGGAGGACAGTCAGACTCAGACTCAGCAACAAGACTAGCGGCGTAGTCGAGACGACAGGCGACAGCAAAGTCAACAAGCTCAGCAACTAGGGCAGACGCAGCAGCGGACTCAAACGAAGGGTAAGTGACAACAGTGGCTAGAAGACGTGGGACAGTAGTAGTGGCAGCACGAACTAAGTCAGACTCAGGGTTCGGACTTTCAGCAAGAGAGGACGCAGGAGGAGACGGCAGGGGAACTCGAAGTGGAACAGAGGAAGGACGAAGTGCCATAATGTGAGTGCCGAGGACAGGAGGAGGACGCGGACAAGGAACAGGACGACCATGAAGTGCGAACAGGCGAGGCAGGACGAGACTCAGGCTCACGACGCTCTGTAAGAGAGTCGGTCTGCTCAGCGTAAGGAGAAGGAGCAGGTAGTGGAGAGTCTGGCAATAACTGTGGATGTGACTGGTGAGGTAGTGGACACAGCAAGCTAGGAGGAAGGCCAGTAGAAGACGGGAGACTAAAAACCTGGCGAAGGACCGAGCAGGAAGTGGCAGAGACGACGGTGGCGGCGGAACGAAAAACGGTCGCCGCTGCACAGTGCCTCCGGCACCAGTACTGCCAGCTCCAGCACCCCCAGCGCTAGCACCTCCAGCTCCAGGGTCTCCAGCTCCAGCGCCTCTAGCTCCAGGGTCTCCAGATCCAGTGTCTCCAGCTCTAGCGCCTCCAGCTCCAGGGCCTCCAGCTCTAGCGCCTCCAGCTCCAGCGCCTGCAGCTCCAGCGCCTCCAGCGCCAGTGCTTCCAGCTCCACGGGCTCCAGCTCCAGTACCTCCAGCTCTTGGGTCTCCAGCTCCAGTACCTCCAACTCCAGGGTCTCCAGCTCAAGTGCCCC